TGTCACAAAGTATCTTCTGATTTTTTTCAACCATTTAAAAACGATAGCAGGACAGATTTGGCCCATAGGCTGTAGTTTTCCAACCCTTGCTTTAAAATTCCAGAGGCCACCCTGTCCCCGCCTTCTCTTTGAAGAGGACACCTTTGTCAGGGTTCATCAGAGCTCCATGGGACAGAAAAGCCATGTTTTACTGGTCCTTCTTGCTCTGCTCACGGGTATTCTCCTCTGTCAGAAGTTGTTTATAATTAGTCCCAATCACAGTTGTGTGTCAGCATGGGTCACTTATTCTTTCCCTCTCTCTTTTAAGAGAGAACAGTGCAGTAGCCATCATGAAATGCCTATTTCTGTTTCTGTCTGGGGCCTTCCATTCCATCCTGCTCTCCATTTCTTATGCCCTGCTGCTCTAAATAATAAACAAGAAGGATAGCATTTATTAAGGACCTAATATGTGCCAGCACAATGTTAGTTGCATTTCATACGTTGTCATTAAATCTCTCAGCATCCTTACAAGGTATCATTCCCATTTTACAGGTGATCTTGAAGCTCAAAAACATTAAGCAAGCTCCCAAGGTCATGCGGCTTATGAAAGTGGCAGAGCTAACAAATCTGACAGACTTCAAAGCCACTGTAGTCTCTGAGTTTTGAATAACAAATGTCTCTTTCTGTTAAAATATGATGTGCCTCCCATCTCAGCACCGAGTAGTGTCTACAAATTCCTGATGGCTAGTGTAGTCGCTGGAAGTTACACACTCAGAGGAGGGGGGCAGGAGAATCTGATGGTCTGTGTTGGTGGGGAAACCATCCGATCCAGAGGCAGGAAGATAAGCGAAATAACTTCTTAGAGCCCCTTCTTGCTTTCCTCCCCTGCCCCCATCTCAAGCAGAGTCTGATCCCAGACCCATTTCAGTATCTCCTATCCCTCTGCTCGGTGGAAGCAGTGATGTGACATGATGTGATCTCATTTGGGAGCTAAATAAAGCCATTGTGTGAGACCCAGCCCTGGCCGCTCCCCTGCACCATTTCCTGCACTCAGGAGGCTTGGGAAAGATGGGTGGGGGCTGGCAGAGAGCTAATGGAAGGAGCAACAAGGAAGAAAACCTGAGCATGCACCTCAGCTTGCATTTCAGAATGTGGAAGAGGGAATATCTCTGGGAGGGGATTGAGGAAGCCTTGCTAAACTTCATCTCTTTGAAGGATAGAAGCGTTAAGTATTGATGTTGTAGCATGGAGGGGTGGAGTTTAGAAAACAGGAAAAAATGTTCTGAGAAATGGAATGAAGATTGAGAAATGGAACCCATGGGTTCCATTTGCAGAGGGCAGAGACAAAGATGCTAGAAAAAGGGCAGATATTTGAGAAGATGTCGGATTGCAGCTGGTCTGAGCTGGAGTACGGAGAGTTCTCAGGATCAGAGAGGTCATCCACCCAGCCAGGGTAGCAGGGTACCGTCTCCAGCAGGTGGCATCTCCAGAATGCAGCCAAAGGAAGGGGTTTCGGTTCACTACATTTCATTCATCTTGTCAAATCCAGCTCTGCAGCCAGAACTGGGCAGGAACAGCAGACAGCAGCAGGTACCAGGGTGTAGCTCAAGTCATTTTTCCTCTTTTGTGGGGTCACTGAGTGCCAGACCCAAGATACTTACAGTACCCCTTAGTTCCTGTCCTGTTCCCAGTCTCGGTTCCTCTTTTCCTCATGAGCACCCCCAGCTCCTACTCTTCTCTCCTTTCAGCTTCTCACAATACTTTTTGTCAGTCCCCCTCTCCCCACCGCCAAGTCCCAGCCTTGGAGACCACTGGCCCTCAGGCCCTGTCCTGCTCCCTGCAGACCTGCCCAATCCATTTATAGCCAGCACATCAAAGGCCCTCAGCCTGTCTCTCCCTGTGGCTGACTGAGGGGTCCCGCTAGGTGGCTTCCAGACGTGATGAGTATGAGCAAACACAGGGCCTGCACCAGTTTCTTAGGCCTCTCCTGTCCTGTCCTTAGAGCCCCCAGCAGGACAGCAGAATGCCCTCTGCAGAGACCTAAGCACTCATTTCCTCCTTCCCTGAAGTACACTGGTGTGCAGTCCTCACAGGCACAAGCTCCTTTGTGGTTCCGGGTGGAAGGCGGCAGGACACAGGTTGCAGTGAGAGAGGGAAAAGTAGTTTGAAGGAACAAATTTCCAACTATCTGGACTTTGGGTGTGGGGGGAAGTAAGATAACTTGGGGAAGGCTTGACACCCTCCCAGAAAGCCTGGGAGGAGGAGGATTCTGACTCACTGCTTCCGGTCCTGCTGGGTACTCCCAACATCCTAGTAGCTGGGGGTGGTCCTGGAGAAGGGGAGCCTGGGAGACTCATTCTAGCAGAGGGTCTACAGAGACGGGGCCTGCGAGTGAGGCGGACACAGGTATGCAGCACCCGTGAGTCCCCTTCTGCCCCTCCACCACCATGGTACTCTGGTATTTGGTACTTCTTTCTGGAATGGGGCTTATCTTTTCAGTTTAAGAATTCCTGAGGGTTCTTAACTCTGAAACACACCCAGGCAAGCCCTGATGGCAGCCAGGAGTGTTGGGCAGTGAGAACCAGACCCACTTGGGAGAGAGAGAGAAGGAATTTTGATGCTGGAGCCCTTCTCTCTGCACCACAGGGAGAGGTCACAATGGCTCTCTTACTCCCCTGTGACGGAAGTCTTAGAGGGAAGACACCATCATACTTCCACTCACGCACCTCTTCTCCTGCCTGCATTATCTGCCTAGACTCCTTCCCTCTCTAAATGTAGCTAGATCCTATCCACTCCACCCCTTCAGGTCCATCTCCCAGACTATTTACTTCCTTCTGTTTCCCTGGTTGAGTCCTCCAACTGGTTATATGCACCCGTTCCTGTGACAACACAAAGCCTTTTATTGAAACTTCTCCTGTGGCATTTGTCATTCTCTGGCCAGTCAGTCATTTGTGAGCTATGCTTTTGTCCATGTGCACACACATGCGTACAAGCTCACTAGACTGAGTTCCTCGAAACAGGAACAATATCTTTTTCTCTTAGCTCAGCTTGGTTTTCCACCATGAATGTGCTCAGTAAATGGAATAATACTGAGTGAATGAGTGAATAACAGTGTGCGGATGCATTGGAAAGAGCACTAGACAGGGAGTCAGAAAACCTGAGTTCTAGCCTTGGCTCTGCAGTTAATTCCTGGTGTGACCTCGAGCCAGCCGTTCTCCAGTGCTGGGCCCCAGGAAAGGACAGAACTGGGCAGGAACAGCAGACAGCAGCAGGTACCAGGGTGTAGCTCAAGTCATTTTTCCTCTTTTGTGGGGTCACTGAGTGCCAGACCCAAGATACTTACAGTACCCCTTAGTTCCTGTCCTGTTCCCAGTCTCGGTTCCTCTTTTCCTCATGAGCACCCCCAGCTCCTACTCTTCTCTCCTTTCAGCTTCTCACAATACTTTTTGTCAGTCCCCCTCTCCCCACCGCCAAGTCCCAGCCTTGGAGACCACTGGCCCTCAGGCCCTGTCCTGCTCCCTGCAGACCTGCCCAATCCATTTATAGCCAGCACATCAAAGGCCCTCAGCCTGTCTCTCCCTGTGGCTGACTGAGGGGTCCCGCTAGGTGGCTTCCAGACGTGATGAGTATGAGCAAACACAGGGCCTGCACCAGTTTCTTAGGCCTCTCCTGTCCTGTCCTTAGAGCCCCCAGCAGGACAGCAGAATGCCCTCTGCAGAGACCTAAGCACTCATTTCCTCCTTCCCTGAAGTACACTGGTGTGCAGTCCTCACAGGCACAAGCTCCTTTGTGGTTCCGGGTGGAAGGCGGCAGGACACAGGTTGCAGTGAGAGAGGGAAAAGTAGTTTGAAGGAACAAATTTCCAACTATCTGGACTTTGGGTGTGGGGGGAAGTAAGATAACTTGGGGAAGGCTTGACACCCTCCCAGAAAGCCTGGGAGGAGGAGGATTCTGACTCACTGCTTCCGGTCCTGCTGGGTACTCCCAACATCCTAGTAGCTGGGGGTGGTCCTGGAGAAGGGGAGCCTGGGAGACTCATTCTAGCAGAGGGTCTACAGAGACGGGGCCTGCGAGTGAGGCGGACACAGGTATGCAGCACCCGTGAGTCCCCTTCTGCCCCTCCACCACCATGGTACTCTGGTATTTGGTACTTCTTTCTGGAATGGGGCTTATCTTTTCAGTTTAAGAATTCCTGAGGGTTCTTAACTCTGAAACACACCCAGGCAAGCCCTGATGGCAGCCAGGAGTGTTGGGCAGTGAGAACCAGACCCACTTGGGAGAGAGAGAGAAGGAATTTTGATGCTGGAGCCCTTCTCTCTGCACCACAGGGAGAGGTCACAATGGCTCTCTTACTCCCCTGTGACGGAAGTCTTAGAGGGAAGACACCATCATACTTCCACTCACGCACCTCTTCTCCTGCCTGCATTATCTGCCTAGACTCCTTCCCTCTCTAAATGTAGCTAGATCCTATCCACTCCACCCCTTCAGGTCCATCTCCCAGACTATTTACTTCCTTCTGTTTCCCTGGTTGAGTCCTCCAACTGGTTATATGCACCCGTTCCTGTGACAACACAAAGCCTTTTATTGAAACTTCTCCTGTGGCATTTGTCATTCTCTGGCCAGTCAGTCATTTGTGAGCTATGCTTTTGTCCATGTGCACACACATGCGTACAAGCTCACTAGACTGAGTTCCTCGAAACAGGAACAATATCTTTTTCTCTTAGCTCAGCTTGGTTTTCCACCATGAATGTGCTCAGTAAATGGAATAATACTGAGTGAATGAGTGAATAACAGTGTGCGGATGCATTGGAAAGAGCACTAGACAGGGAGTCAGAAAACCTGAGTTCTAGCCTTGGCTCTGCAGTTAATTCCTGGTGTGACCTCGAGCCAGCCGTTCTCCAGTGCTGGGCCCCAGGAAAGGGAGGGTGTCTAGATGCTCTAGGCCTGGCAGCCTACAACACTTTTCTGGTTTCAGGGTTCCAGAGTTCTGGAACTCACCCTTCTCTGTCTTCTTGACTCAGACTGGCCCGTGCGTGCCTCCCATGAACAGAGACATTCCAGAGGTGTTCCTCACAGGTGGAGACCTGGTGCCCCAGGGATACGCTCCTCGCCGCTGCCTATCTGTGGTGGAGACTGGATCGCAGCCGGAGGAAGAAGAGGAGGGGGGGATAAGGACAGAGGGAGATGGCTCCTACGCTGTGCCCCTCCGAAGGTCCAGGGCTTTCCGCACCCATAACCATACCTACGACCCATTCAAAAGACATAGCTGGGGGCCAGGTAGGGAGCTCCAGGATCCACTGAGCAGGTAAACCCCCAGGGGACTGCCTGTCCCCCTTTCTTTCAAGTCCTAGACCTAGAAGAAAGTGCTTGGAAAGGAATGATAGGAGTTGAAGAGACCTGGGCTTCTCATCCCTTCCATGGAGAATCAGAACCCAGGTCCACTGTGGGCCCCTGGGGGGGATGGACGCCGCTTCTGGAAATGTGACTCTCCTTAGTGATCCCAGCTCCTCCTCTCTCCCTGGTCTCAGGGGCAGGAGGGGGCGGGCATAGGGTGGGGGAGTTAGAATCAGGTGAGTAGCAGGACATTTGGGCCTGACCGCCTCCACCTCCTACTTTGGGTTTCACAGAATTACACAATGGTGTAGGGCCAGCTCCCCATTGCGGGTCATATGGCCCAGTCTCATTTTACAGATGAGGAAACTGAGGCCCAGAGAACTTTGGGAGGTTTCTCGACAGGTGTTCTGGGGGTTAGGGCATTGAACCCGCCCCTTTCCCAGATTGCCACCTACCTGCTGGCTCCAGGCTGAGGCAGCGCCAAGATGTGTGGACAGCAGAGCACTGCCCGGAAGTCGGGGAGTAGCCACCCTTGCTCAGAAGTCTGCCTATGATTGGCAGAGGGAAGAGAGAGACCCATTTCTTCCCCATCTCCTGGAAAATCCCTGACCACTTCCCCAAACACAGAGGAAGTCAGAAAGAGGCAGCCCGGGGTCAGTGTGAGGAGTTTAGTATGAGTGGTCATTGTGAGGGCCTGCTAGCCATGAAAGGGCACTGTCCCTCTGCTTTGACGGTGGTCCCCTTCGACAGATTCCCTTAGCTCAGGTGAGTACACCAACCTTCTCTAGCTCCTGGGCAGGGCTGGCTGGGCTCAGGGAGGGGAGAGGCAACCCTGCACCTTGCCCCTGAATGGCTTGGGTGGGAACTCAGGTGAGAAGTCTTGCCCTCAGGGCTCATGGCACCTTCCTAGGAGCTGCTGGTCGAAGGCAGAGATGCCCTGGGTACCCACTGTGTGGTGCCAACTGTACCTCAGGGCCTGCCAAGTGTCACCTTTCACTATCAGGCACTAAAGGCCCCTTGGTTAGAGAGGTAAGGGAATCCTGCGCCTACCATTTAGCTGAGTAAGGGCAAAGGTGGGTATCAGAAACCAGGCAAAAAGTGAGAATCCAGCTTGCCCTTTGCCTCCCCTTGGACCGGCCTTCCTTGTGGAGGGCAGTACTGCCCTCTGACCAGCAGGGGCCACCCTTGCCTGCAGCCAGCTCTGCAGCTTTGCCAAAGGAGAGCCCCAAAGGGAGGCCAGTTTGGGACTGGGCAACAGGAAGGGCCGGGCTGGGACCAGCAGCAGGGCTGGGCTGAGGCGGTGTTCCTCCCTGGTGCCCGTTACTAGCCACTGGATACAGAGGGCAGTGGTGGCAATGTGTGTTTCAGGAGCAAACGGCAGGCATCAGGATGCGTGGGCCCCCAAGAGGCCCTATTACTGCAGAGCCAAGAGGAACTGGACACTTTTCTGGAATTGCAGCACCAAGGCGGCCAACCCTCCCATGTGGTATGGATGCACAAACCCCCACGGAGGCCACCGCCTTCCTTCCGCTCTCCTGCCCCCTTGCCTGTCCCGCCACCACCCTGTGCCTCTTCTGTTCTGCCAGGTGCTGGGTGTCTCCGTGCTCAGGCGTCGCTCTCCCTCCCCCTGAGCGAATCTGAATCTGTTGTCTGTGCCCCTCTGTCGGCTTCCCTGGGTCTCTATGCTCTCTCCTCCGCGCTTGTATCCTGCCTCTGTCTCTTTCTCTAAGACTCTCTGTTCTTGCCTGTCCGTTTCTGTGTGTCTGTGTTGATGTGGGTATCTCTGTTCCTCTCTCATTAAAAGGCCCCTGTGCCCCTAGTTGTTAACAACCACCTCTTTCTGTGAACCCCACATTTGTCAGATTTGGAACTGAACTTATTATTTGTGAGTTGAAACTAGGTAACTGGTACCCTGAAAGGCAATAGTTCTCTAATAAAATAATCATGGGTTATCAAATGAGAAAGGATGTAGAGATTGCCCAGCCTTCTGGTTTAAGGGAACGTAACTGGGGGATCTCAAACTGGGACCCTTATAAGGACCATTGAGGATGCAGGAGAGAGCTTTAGAGACAGCACTGGGTCGGCCAGCTAAGGAACCCGAGGACATGGGAATGTCTCCCTGCTGGTGACCAGGTTGCCTCTCCTGTGGCTCATCCTCCTGCTGGCCAGGCGTGCCAAGCCCATCACCCACTCTTCTCCATCAGCACCTCTGCACGTCTTCTCTCCCACTGCGGCCATGCAGGATGGCAGGAAGAACAGGGCTGGGCAGTCAGGCTGACTTCTGGATCCTTCATTTACCAGCTGAACAATTTAGTTCATCCTTCCACACATGAGGGTAACACAAACTATCATTTACAGTCATGAGTATTAGATGGAAAAAAGGTGGTGCAGTGCCCAGTACGGTACGGAGGCTGAGACACAGGATGAACGCAGAAACAGCAGTTTCTTGTTCCTCTCCTCCCTTCCATTCCTTTGTACTTCTTTCCCTCTCTTCCCCCTTTCCCCCCTCCTCCCCACATCTCCTCCCCTTTCTTGGTATTGTTCTCTTCTTTCCCCCTTTTCCCTAGTGTTTTTTTACTCTTTGCATGGCTTCCTGCTCTGCATCCTCTCCTCTCTCCTTCCAATCTTTAAGCACTTGCTCTTAATTTCTCCTTGTCTATACATTCCAGTTTTTTTGTTTCTTCCTGCAGTAGCAAGTATAAATATTCCACCACAGTCCACAGACCAAAAGTCAGAGTCATTAAGCTAGACTGAAGTTTGCAGACTGATGGTCCCCAAGTCTAGCTCCAAAATGTGTTTTCTTCAGCCATTATGGAGCTTACACTTTTTAAGATTCAGATGTCCTTAAATGGGACCTGTGCCTTCCAATTTGCCAGAGTTGCTAATGTGCTCTGCTGTATTTTCCCCTTTGTGTTTTAAATACAATATATATTTCAAAATTAGGTCCAATAAATCAACTGCCCTTCTCAAGTCAAAAAACATCACCAATGCACTTAACTTTGCTTATGTCTTCCTCTTTTATTCCCTTGCCTTCCCATCAGAGATAGTCACCATTTTTAATTGTCTTTATCATTCATTTACATTTTTATAGTTTTAACACAAATATATGTGCTACCTAATATTTCTTTTCTGTTGTTTCTGAGTTTTAAAAAATGTTATATTGTACAAAATTTTCTGTAACGAATTTTCATTCAACATTGTTTCTAATTTTTATCCATGTGTTGCAAACATTTATAGTTCATTCATTTTCATCCCATTTTTCTGTTAATGGACATTTGGATCATTTCCATTCTTTGTTTTTACGAAATGTATCAGTTTGAACATCATTTTATCCATCTCCTGGTGTACATTTGCAAGAATTTCTCCAGTGTATATATACCTTGGAGTGGAATTGTTAGGACATAGAGTGCACACATGTTCATTTTTACAAGATAATGGCAAATTTTTTCCACTTTCATCAGCAGTATGTAAGACTTGCAATTGATCCACATCCTTTCCAACATTTGGAGTCATTAGACCTCTGAGTTTTGCATCCTAGTGGTTATAAATACTATTGTGGTATTAATTTGATTTTATCCTTACTACAAATGCAATTGAGCATCTTTTCAAATGTGTATTGGTCATTTGTGTTTCCTTTTCTTTGAAATGCCTCTTCATGTCTTTTGCCCATTTTTCTGTTGCGTTCTTCAAGAGTTTTTCTTTATCGGTTTGAATGTGTTCTTTATATAATCTGAATACTAATCATTTGTTGTTATATGTGTTGCAATGATCTTTTCTCAAAAATGGAAAAAAGTGGCTTTTCTTTTCCCTCTCCTGTGGTGTCACTAAATAAAGTTTCTTAATTTTTAAAAAACAAACATATTTATTGAAGTATAACAGAGAAACAACACATGCATTTATAAGCCTTTGAGATTATTTCTGTAGTTCCATTGAATCTAAATATTAATTTAGAGAAAGTTGACACCTACAATATTGCTTATTCCTATCCATGAAAATAGTATACTGCTCTATTTAATGTCTTTCAATAAAGTTTTATCATTTTTTTTCCATACAGATCTTGTGGGTATTAGTTTTATTCTTAGATATGTTACACTTCTTTGGTCAAGTTTTTAATTTTGGCCATTCTGGTGTATGTCTTAGTGGTATCTCACTTTGGTTTTAATTTTGCATGTCCTTGTTGAAAGACTTTGTTGGGTATTTTTTCATATTCTTATGGGCCATCTGGATATCTTGTTTTGTGAAATATCTGTTCAAGTCTTTTGCCCAATTTTTGAAATAGCTTGTCCTTTTCTTACTATTATTTAATAGTTCTTTATATAACTGGATTTGAGTCATTTGTCAGATATGTGTTTTGTGAGTATTCTCTCCCAGTCTTTGACATGCATTTTTACCTTAATAGTGTATTTTAATAAGCATGAATTTTTCATTTTGATGAAGTGCAACTTAAATTTTTAATGGTTAGTGCTTTTTGATCATGTTTTAAGAAATTTTGCCTACTCGAAGAATATGAAGATTTTTTTTCTCCAATGTTTTCTTCTAGAAGCTTTATGATTTTAGCTTTCATATTTAGGTCTGTGATTTATCTAGATCCTTATTATGGTAGAAATCAAAGTTTTATGGGTTATTTTCCCCATGTAAATATCCTGTTGCTCCACTAAAAAAACTTACTTTCCCCATTGAATTGCTGTGGTACCTTTGTTGAAAAACCAAGTGACTATATTTCTGTGAGTCTATTTCTGGGCCTGATTCTCTGTTTCATTGATCTACATGTCTATCCTTATGCCAACATCACATTGTCTTGATTATAGTTTTATTATAAGTCTTAAAAATATAGCAGTGTAAGTCCTCCAACTTTATTATTTTTAAGATTAGCTTAGCTATTTTTGGTCCTTCATTTTCATGTGAATTATAGAACCATCTTATCAATTTCTAAAAACCAAAAATTACTCTTGGATTTTGACTGAAATTGTACTGAATTCAAAGATTAATTTAGGACAAATTGACATCTTTCTAATATTGAGTCTTCCTGTCCAAGAAAAATCATGCATCTTTCTAAAAAATATATGTCTTTAAATAAAGTATTAGTTTTCTTCATACTGGACAATCTGTATTATATTTATTTCTAGGTACCTTATAGTTTCTGTTGCTATTGTAGATGTTTTCTTGCATTTAAATTACATTTTCTAATTATTTTTGAGTAATAGAACTGCATCAATCCTTGCATAGTGATGCTATAGGTCATTTATCTTGCTGAGCTCTTTTTTTTTTCTTTTGTAGTTATAACAATTTAAGTGTGGGTTTTTTTCTAAGTAGACAATTACATCATCTTTAAAAGAGCTTTGCCTCTTCTTTTCCAATATTTATTCCTTTCCTTTTTCTTGCCCTACTGTGCAGCTGGGGCTCTTTTATTGCTGAACAGAAATGGTGATCACAGAAATACTTGTCTTGTTTCTGATTTTGGAGTGAGTTAAGTCTTGTGTTTCACTATTGACATTGATTTTTCTTTTTTTGCCTGTACATTTTTAAGAGTTACTCTATTATCAGGTTAAGGAAGATTCCTTTGATTTCTAACCACCAAAGCTTTGGTTTCACAGTGAATGGGTATTTAATTTTATTCTCTGCTTTTCTGCTTTTACAGAGATTGTTATGTTTTTTCTCCTTTAACATGTTATCAGGTAAATTACATTTAAAGATTTTTCTATTGAAGCACTTTTGTATTCTCCGGATAAATCCAACTTTGTCATGATGGATTATCTTTTTTATAAAGTTCTGGATTTCATTTATGGTATCAACGATCTATTTCTGCATGACAAATAAACCCCAAACTTAGTGGCTTTAAACAACAACACTTCTGTTTTTGTTTTGCCCCTCACAGTTCTGTGGGTGGGTGATCTGGACTGAGCTCAGCTGGGTATTCTGCTGATTTCACCTGGACTCACTTATGTGGCTGCACTGGTCTGGTGGCTTGAACAGGCCTGATGGGCCATGAAGGCCGTATTCATACCTGTCACTTGACAGGCTGCCAGCTGTGATACCTTGGTTCTGTCCACATGGCCCCTCCAGGAGGCTGGCTTAAGCCTGTTCCCAGAGAAATAGCATCCCAAGTGGGCAAAAGTGGAAGCTTTAAGGTTTCTTCAGGCTTAGGCTCCAAACCACATAATGTCACTTCTGCCACATGCTATTCATCATAGTAAGTCCCAGGCCAGCCCAGATTCAAAGAGTGAAGAAATAGGCTCCTGCTTGATGGGAGGAGCTATAAATAATTTGTAGCCATTTAAAATCTATGACAGTTTGCTAATAGTTTGTTTGGAATTTTTAAACTTATGTTCATAAGAGAGATTGGCTCTTAACTTTCCTTTGTCAAACTGCCTATGTGTATGGTTAAGAACCAAGGTTAAACTCGCCTTATACAAAGCGTCAGAGAGTTGTTTTTTTTTTTTAGAGAGAGTTTTTGTTTTCTATTCCTTGAAAGACTTTGTATAAGATCTCAGTGATCTATTCCTTGAAAGATCTACCCCTTGCCTATAAAACTGTTTGGGCCTGTTATGGGTTTTTTTGTTTGTTTGTTTATAGAAAGATTAACTAATGATTCCATTTCTTTAATAGGACCATTCAGACTTTCTGTTTCTTCTAGATTCAGTGTTGGTAAGTTGTATACATAATATATATATATATTTTAAAGGAATTTGTCTACTTTGTTGCATTTTCAGAATTACTGCATTAAATTGTAGGCCGTATTCTCTTATCTTTCCAATCATTGCTTTCTCTATAGTTAGATCTATTTTTTCATCCTACTTTCATTCGTGCCTTCTCTGTCTTCAGTACGCTAATCAGAGGTGTGTCTATTTTATTTGCCCATTCCTAAAACGCAGTTTTGGGCTTTATTGATCTTATTTTATGTTCACAACTTCAACAATTTCTGCTTTTATCTTTATTATACCTTTCCTTCTGTTTTCTTTGGGTTCTACCGTTCTTTTTCTAACCTTTTGAGTTAACATACCTCATTAATTTTCAGTTTAAAAATTTTTTCAATAAAAGCGTCTAAAAGCTATAAATTATCCTTGAAATACCACTTTGCCGTCTCCCACATTTTTATTCTGTAGTTCTGTAGTATTTTCATTACTGTTGTTATGAAGTATCTTTAAATTTCCATTATGATTTCCTCTTTGGCCAGGAAGTATTTTAAAATTTCTACATCTACAGAGATTTTTTTAAACTTCAAAAATTTTTTTCTAAAATAAACATAACACACAGAAGGCATACAAAACTTGCATGTACAATGTAGTGAATAATTAGGAAGCAAACAGCTGTGTAACCACCCTAGGTAAGAAAAAATAGGATATCACCAGAACCCAGAAGTCCCTTCCCATTCACATCCTCTCTTGAGCAGAGATGACTACTTTCTTGAATTTCAAGATTGATATTCCATATAGAAATACCCATCTTTATATGCACTTCTAAACAGTACCAATTAGTTTTGCTTGTTTTAATCTTTATATGAATGTAATCATGCAATATATACATTTTTGTGTGTGTCTTGATTCTTTCAACATTATATTTGTGAGATTCATCCATATTGTTGGGTGAACTGTGGTTTGTTTATTGCTGAAAGATATTTTGATGTATTAAAATATATCACAAAATCTTTATCCAGTCTACTGGACTTTCTGGGTTGTTTCCTATGGGCTCTGTGATACAGATTATTTGAAATATGTTAAAATTTGCCTGATAACGTGGCCGGTTTTTGTAATTCATGTAAGCTTGAGAAAAAAATTACTTTCTAATGATTAGATGTATGGTTTATGAATATTCCTACTCCCTGTTATCTTAAACCCAGACTTTGTTTTGTTTTTTTCATTACCTACTTTGCCTCTATAAGTTTGATTTTGTCATCTCTGAAAGCATTAGGATAAATCTTTTCTAAGCTATTTTCTATTATTGAATTGCAGTAGAGTGATAGAATACTAAATAGCAGGAATAACTTCCCAACTATTTCAAGTGGAAAATTCCAGATATGAGTAGTGGCGAGGGGTGGAAGGCCTGAAGGCCTTGAGAAAGGGCCATGGTATGGGAAAGCAAAGAGCATGGAGGGAAAATGGATGAAGACTGACCTTTGTGTGAGGATTCTTGCCGTGATTCTAGGGCCAAGGTTCCTGTTGTCCATCTGCTGGCCCTTTGGACCACTCAGCTACTGGCATGCTTTCCAAGTCTGTCTCCATGAGTGGCATCAATTGCTTCTTTGGCTGCTCAGATCCAGCTGGTGAGTGAAAGTGGGCAGCAGAGCAGTGGTGGTCCCTTCCCCGCCTGTGTCGCCATCACTCCTCAGAGCCAGATGTTCAGGGTCCAGCTATCCTGGGTTATGTTAACCACACACCCTTGGAAAACCCAAAATGCCTTTATACAGATGAGATCTGAATTCAGGACCTGGGCATTCTGGGACTCTCTTCCCAATGAAGGAAGACACTGGGCAGAGTGAGCTCTCCAGCTTCCCTGTCGCCAGAGATGGAGGACGGTCACCTGCAATGTACCTTGTTGTCAAGATGTGACATTGGGTGCTCAGTGTGAAACCTCAGTCCTCCCTGGCACCAGAACAGAACTGAGACCTCAGGCCTTCTCCACGTGACCCTGGTGCTCTCTTCCCCTGGCTCCTAGGTCCCTGAGCTCTGCTGGGCTCAGACCCCGCCTTCCTTCCCTACTCCCAGTGCCTGCCCGCCCTCAGGAATGGCGTCACAAGCACCTGCAGCTTGGGAACCTGATCCAGGTGGAGGGGGTGGGGGACGCAGCCCTGTGCGCCTTTGTCTAGCTTTAACTGGAACCTTCTCCTCTCCTTTTGTGTTGGCAGGGAATTTATCCCAGGCCTCTGCTGCTGACCTCAGCCAAAGGTGAGTTTGGGGGATTTGGAGCCCTTCAAAGGCCTAGATGGGGGAGGGGCTATGGGCCTGGGCCATGGATTCTGTAGCCCCAAAGGTCTCTGCTTTCTGAAACAGTGCTCCCCTTAATATTTCTGTTGAAGACCTCCAAGTATCCCTCTCCCTGAGCGGCACAGAATTCACTCCTCTTCTCATTGGCCAGGGAAGGATCAGAAGGTCTGGGTAGCCCCTGGGATGGAGAGGAAATTAGGGCAATAAAAGGAGTATCCAGACCCCGGGGTGTCAGGTGGATAAGAGTGGGAGTTGCCTGCTCTGTCAGTTTCAGAAAGGCGAGCAGATCAGCTGTTGGACAGTCTTAGGGAGAGACAGCGGCCAAGGACCGTGGGTCAGCTTTGGATGGCTCGAATAATAGACCGATGGGGAGCGGCTCAGAGGAGAGCTGGCCAACGGGCCGGAGAACCCCGAGGGGAGAGGGCCACGCTCAGGCACAGTTCAGGGATAGAGGTGGAGGCTGGCGGATCTCGGGAACTATGTAAATAAGCAGGCAAAATCAGCACCTGTTTATTTGGCTCCTGCCGCTGAAGCCTGACTGGAGTGGGTCAGGCCTCGAACACAGCGTGGGTGCGTGAGCTCGTAATGGGCCCTTTAAGATCCTGAGTTCTGATTTGTGGTCCTGAACATCTCTAGCTGACACATCCTCCTGGCTGTGGGTCTGGGATTAGCTCATGGGATGGGGCTGATGAAATCCCAGGAAATTCAGTCCTTATTGGCTTCAGGCCCAGAGGCCTTTTCCAAACAGCAGAGAGGGTCGTACACAGGGCTCTTGTATTTTGAGGGGAAAATGCTCCCTGGGGAGGCCCCCAGCCCATTTCGCTTCCGCTGGTGAGCCGCATGAGAGAGGAGATTGGGCCTGCATGAGGTAGGAAGGGGGAGTCTGTGTTTATCGGGGAGGAGCCTGGCGTTTTCCTCATAAATAGAAGGGCCTGGGACCCGGCAGTGTCCACATCCAGGAAGTCCTAGGAGGTGGGGTGGCAGTGCCTTTCTCCCGGCCCTTCCTCTTTCTTCCTCACCCTTTTCTCTCAGAGTTTCTCCCTTGTTTCTCTCTCTCCATTCTCTCTCTGCTGGTCATGGCACCTTCACCCACCATCTCTCTGGGAGTATCTTGTTTTTCGTTCCCATGTCCATCTCCATCTCTTCACCTCTTCTTTTTCTCTCTGCAGCTGTAGCCAACTGGAAGGGGGCTCAGGTACCTGGGCAGGCTCCTCCCTGCGACGGACCTTCAGCTTCCTCTTGGGCATGACTGGAAAGGCCAAGGTAGGAGTCAGCTAGGGGGCAGGAGGCCTGGGACGCTCTGCCCTTCCTAGTTCCCTTCCTCCCCCAGCCACTACCCACTCCCCTCCCCAGCTTCCCCTGGCAACAGACACTCAGGGCAATGGTTCAAGTTTTTAAGGGAACACATGCTATCTCTCCCAGCCTCCCTTCCTATATCCCAGTAAATCACCTTTCCTCTGCTTTCCCCGTGCCTCCAGTTTAGCAGCCAGCTGTGGACAGCTGGAAAAGGAGAGGGGCCAGGAGCCTCAGAAGCTGAGCAGTGGCCTAGCCCCACTCTCTTTAGGCCTCATATAGCTGAGAGGTGGGCAGCAGAAATCTTAACCACTGGACATAATGATGATTATGATTACAGTGATACTTTTTAGTTCTTCAGAGAACATTAGGGTTTGCAACGTACTTTTACACTCGTAATTTTATGGGTGGACACGGCAGCTGAAGGAATTGAAATTAAACCATATGCAGAGTGGAAGCCAGGAAAGTATGTGATTATGGAAGCACATGAACCTGCTGTGTGAGGAGCCATGTGCAGCTGTGACCCCAGGAAGGTGAAGGTACATTGCTCTCTGCCTTATTGCCAATCCCCGGGCTCTGGTGAAATCTGGAGCTCTGCCTGCTGCTTGAATTCATCTCCACTTTCTTTGTTTATGGGCAGAATGAGCCACCCCCTTTGCCTCTCATGGTCTCCCCAGATATGCATGGATTTTCCAACCTGGGGTAGCTCAGAGCATTGGGAGATACCCTAGAGAAGGCATCATCATTTTCACTGTGAAGAGCCTTGGGAGTCTCAGGAAGCCTGCCTGGCTCCTCCAGGCCCCAGCCAGTGCCAGGACTCTCTCCTCTGCCAGCCTTTTAGCCAGGATTCCCCTTCCTCTGAGGGCAGGAAAGGCAGTGATGAAACCAGGTTGTCTGCAGCATCTTTCCACAGGCTAGGGAGTTGAGCCACAAGACCAGTCAGTCTGGGAAGAGGAGTAGCAGCCAGGGAATCTTAAAGCTGGGGCTGGAGGAGAGGAGGTGGTGTTGAGGCTTCTTCTGTCCCATGGGGGCTGAGCTGTCCGGAGAACAAAGCTAACATGGAGAACTCTGATCTGAGTCCCACCTCCCCACAGGCTCACTCAGTGCAGGGTAGGAGTCTGATGGCAGAACCACCCTTTTCCTGCAGTGGGAATGGTAGGGGAAGTTGGCACTGCCCAGGGGCCATCCAGATCTGAGCTGGTCTGCACTGGCCCACCCCTGGCCTAGCAGTTTGGTGAGGGGTTGAATAACACGGTGAAGGGGAATGTTGTCAGACTTCGGAGCACAGACAGGCAGCAGGAAAGAGGCAGAGCAAGTCAGGACACTGTCCCTCTGGGCCCTTCCTCACCAGGGTCTCTGTCCCTGTTTTCCTGTTTCCCCTCCGGTCCTCTCCTGGTCCTTCGTCCTTCCACCCTCAGGAATTCGTGCGCCTGCCTCACTGATTCCCCTCCTCCTACCTCAGAATGGGGGCCTTAAACAGGTAAACACCAGGGGGTGGGGCTGGACAGCAGCGTCGAGCAGTGAGAGAAGGAAGTAGCTTATTCCTTCCTATTTGACTAGCTTTGCAGAGTTGACAAAACACTTTTCCAGAGGTCATCTCATTTAATTCTTAGGTCACTCTGGCGAAGATAAGTACTTTAATCATCTTTTACAGACAAGATAACTTAGAAGCTAAATTACTTGCCCAAGATCCCAGAGTTAGTGAGGCAGAGCTATCCTGCCAGCTCAGTCCTGCTGCCTCTGCCTCTGTCAGTAAATCTGATGTAACAGTTTATCCCCTCTTCGCTTCTCCCACCATCTTTGATAGATGGCCACAGGGTTAAGCATGCCTTCATCAGTCCCTTCCAGAACACACAAGGTCCAGAGTGAAAAGAAGAAACAAAAGTATGCTCCTGGGCACTGGTATCCCTGTGGCTCTATCTGTTCACCTGCCCGCCAAGATTCTGACAACCAGCTTCTTGTCTCCCCACTGATGACACGTGGGGACACATTTGTCAAGTTAAATGAGCTACAGAAGATGATGGCTGGCTACTTTTAGATTCTGGCAGAAATAGGGTTAGCTTTTGGTTTTATGTATCTAAAACATAGTTTCTGAAAATCTGAGAGATCACTGGCTCAGAGTAGAGGAGTCTCCCACATTTTTATTCTGTAGTTCTGTAGTATTTTCATTACTGTTGTTATGAAGTATCTTTAAATTTCCATTATGATTTCCTCTTTGGCCAGGAAGTATTTTAAAATTTCTACATCTACAGAGATTTTTTTAAACTTCAAAAATTTTTTTCTAAAATAAACATAACACACAGAAGGCATACAAAACTTGCATGTACAATGTAGTGAATAATTAGGAAGCAAACAGCTGTGTAACCACCCTAGGTAAGAAAAAATAGGATATCACCAGAACCCAGAAGTCCCTTCCCATTCACATCCTCTCTTGAGCAGAGATGACTACTTTCTTGAATTTCAAGATTGATATTCCATATAGAAATACCCATCTTTATATGCACTTCTAAACAGTACCAATTAGTTTTGCTTGTTTTAATCTTTATATGAATGTAATCATGCAATATATACATTTTTGTGTGTGTCTTGATTCTTTCAACATTATATTTGTGAGATTCATCCATATTGTTGGGTGAACTGTGGTTTGTTTATTGCTGAAAGATATTTTGATGTATTAAAATATATCACAAAATCTTTATCCAGTCTACTGGACTTTCTGGGTTGTTTCCTATGGGCTCTGTGATACAGATTATTTGAAATATGTTAAAATTTGCCTGATAACGTGGCCGGTTTTTGTAATTCATGTAAGCTTGAGAAAAAAATTACTTTCTAATGATTAGATGTATGGTTTATGAATATTCCTACTCCCTGTTATCTTAAACCCAGACTTTGTTTTGTTTTTTTCATTACCTACCTTGCCTCTATAAGTTTGATTTTGTCATCTCTGAAAGCATTAGGATAAATCTTTTCTAAGCTATTTTCTATTATTGAATTGCAGTAGAGTGATAGAATACTAAATAGCAGGAATAACTTCCCAACTATTTCAAGTGGAAAATTCCAGATATGAGTAGTGGCGAGGGGTGGAAGGCCTGAAGGCCTTGAGAAAGGGCCATGGTATGGGAAAGCAAAGAGCATGGAGGGAAAATGGATGAAGACTGACCTTTGTGTGAGGATTCTTGCCGTGATTCTAGGGCCAAGGTTCCTGTTGTCCATCTGCTGGCCCTTTGGACCACTCAGCTACTGGCATGCTTTCCAAGTCTGTCTCCATGAGTGGCATCAATTGCTTCTTTGGCTGCTCAGATCCAGCTGGTGAGTGAAAGTGGGCAGCAGAGCAGTGGTGGTCCCTTCCCCGCCTGTGTCGCCATCACTCCTCAGAGCCAGATGTTCAGGGTCCAGCTATCCTGGGTTATGTTAACCACACACCCTTGGAAAACCCAAAATGCCTTTATACAGATGAGATCTGAATTCAGGACCTGGGCATTCTGGGACTCTCTTCCCAATGAAGGAAGACACTGGGCAGAGTGAGCTCTCCAGCTTCCCTGTCGCCAGAGATGGAGGACGGTCACCTGCAATGTACCTTGTTGTCAAGATGTGACATTGGGTGCTCAGTGTGAAACCTCAGTCCTCCCTGGCACCAGAACAGAACTGAGACCTCAGGCCTTCTCCACGTGACCCTGGTGCTCTCTTCCCCTGGCTCCTAGGTCCCTGAGCTCTGCTGGGCTCAGACCCCGCCTTCCTTCCCTACTCCCAGTGCCTGCCCGCCCTCAGGAATGGCGTCACAAGCACCTGCAGCTTGGGAACCTGATCCAGGTGGAGGGGGTGGGGGACGCAGCCCTGTGCGCCTTTGTCTAGCTTTAACTGGAACCTTCTCCTCTCCTTTTGTGTTGGCAGGGAATTTATCCCAGGCCTCTGCTGCTGACCTCAGCCAAAGGTGAGTTTGGGGGATTTGGAGCCCTTCAAAGGCCTAGATGGGGGAGGGGCTATGGGCCTGGGCCATGGATTCTGTAGCCCCAAAGGTCTCTGCTTTCTGAAACAGTGCTCCCCTTAATATTTCTGTTGAAGACCTCCAAGTATCCCTCTCCCTGAGCGGCACAGAATTCACTCCTCTTCTCATTGGCCAGGGAAGGATCAGAAGGTCTGGGTAGCCCCTGGGATGGAGAGGAAATTAGGGCAATAAAAGGAGTATCCAGACCCCGGGGTGTCAGGTGGATAAGAGTGGGAGTTGCCTGCTCTGTCAGTTTCAGAAAGGCGAGCAGATCAGCTGTTGGACAGTCTTAGGGAGAGACAGCGGCCAAGGACCGTGGGTCAGCTTTGGATGGCTCGAATAATAGACCGATGGGGAGCGGCTCAGAGGAGAGCTGGCCAACGGGCCGGAGAACCCCGAGGGGAGAGGGCCACGCTCAGGCACAGTTCAGGGATAGAGGTGGAGGCTGGCGGATCTCGGGAACTATGTAAATAAGCAGGCAAAATCAGCACCTGTTTATTTGGCTCCTGCCGCTGAAGCCTGACTGGAGTGGGTCAGGCCTCGAACACAGCGTGGGTGCGTGAGCTCGTAATGGGCCCTTTAAGATCCTGAGTTCTGATTTGTGGTCCTGAACATCTCTAGCTGACACATCCTCCTGGCTGTGGGTCTGGGATTAGCTCATGGGATGGGGCTGATGAAATCCCAGGAAATTCAGTCCTTATTGGCTTCAGGCCCAGAGGCCTTTTCCAAACAGCAGAGAGGGTCGTACACAGGGCTCTTGTATTTTGAGGGGAAAATGCTCCCTGGGGAGGCCCCCAGCCCATTTCGCTTCCGCTGGTGAGCCGCATGAGAGAGGAGATTGGGCCTGCATGAGGTAGGAAGGGGGAGTCTGTGTTTATCGGGGAGGAGCCTGGCGTTTTCCTCATAAATAGAAGGGCCTGGGACCCGGCAGTGTCCACATCCAGGAAGTCCTAGGAGGTGGGGTGGCAGTGCCTTTCTCCCGGCCCTTCCTCTTTCTTCCTCACCCTTTTCTCTCAGAGTTTCTCCCTTGTTTCTCTCTCTCCATTCTCTCTCTGCTGGTCATGGCACCTTCACCCACCATCTCTCTGGGAGTATCTTGTTTTTCGTTCCCATGTCCATCTCCATCTCTTCACCTCTTCTTTTTCTCTCTGCAGCTGTAGCCAACTGGAAGGGGGCTCAGGTACCTGGGCAGGCTCCTCCCTGCGACGGACCTTCAGCTTCCTCTTGGGCATGACTGGAAAGGCCAAGGTAGGAGTCAGCTAGGGGGCAGGAGGCCTGGGACGCTCTGCCCTTCCTAGTTCCCTTCCTCCCCCAGCCACTACCCACTCCCCTCCCCAGCTTCCCCTGGCAACAGACACTCAGGGCAATGGTTCAAGTTTTTAAGGGAACACATGCTATCTCTCCCAGCCTCCCTTCCTATATCCCAGTAAATCACCTTTCCTCTGCTTTCCCCGTGCCTCCAGTTTAGCAGCCAGCTGTGGACAGCTGGAAAAGGAGAGGGGCCAGGAGCCTCAGAAGCTGAGCAGTGGCCTAGCCCCACTCTCTTTAGGCCTCATATAGCTGAGAGGTGGGCAGCAGAAATCTTAACCACTGGACATAATGATGATTATGATTACAGTGATACTTTTTAGTTCTTCAGAGAACATTAGGGTTTGCAACGTACTTTTACACTCGTAATTTTATGGGTGGACACGGCAGCTGAAGGAATTGAAATTAAACCATATGCAGAGTGGAAGCCAGGAAAGTATGTGATTATGGAAGCACATGAACCTGCTGTGTGAGGAGCCATGTGCAGCTGTGACCCCAGGAAGGTGAAGGTACATTGCTCTCTGCCTTATTGCCAATCCCCGGGCTCTGGTGAAATCTGGAGCTCTGCCTGCTGCTTGAATTCATCTCCACTTTCTTTGTTTATGGGCAGAATGAGCCACCCCCTTTGCCTCTCATGGTCTCCCCAGATATGCATGGATTTTCCAACCTGGGGTAGCTCAGAGCATTGGGAGATACCCTAGAGAAGGCATCATCATTTTCACTGTGAAGAGCCTTGGGAGTCTCAGGAAGCCTGCCTGGCTCCTCCAGGCCCCAGCCAGTGCCAGGACTCTCTCCTTTGCCAGCCTTTTAGCCAGGATTCCCCTTCCTCTGAGGGCAGGAAAGGCAGTGATGAAACCAGGTTGTCTGCAGCATCTTTCCACAGGCTAGGGAGTTGAGCCACAAGACCAGTCAGTCTGGGAAGAGGAGTAGCAGCCAGGGAATCTTAAAGCTGGGGCTGGAGGAGAGGAGGTGGTGTTGAGGCTTCTTCTGTCCCATGGGGGCTGAGCTGTCCGGAGAACAAAGCTAACATGGAGAACTCTGATCTGAGTCCCACCTCCCCACAGGCTCACTCAGTGCAGGGTAGGAGTCTGATGGCAGAACCACCCTTTTCCTGCAGTGGGAATGGTAGGGGAAGTTGGCACTGCCCAGGGGCCATCCAGATCTGAGCTGGTCTGCACTGGCCCACCCCTGGCCTAGCAGTTTGGTGAGGGGTTGAATAACACGGTGAAGGGGAATGTTGTCAGACTTCGGAGCACAGACAGGCAGCAGGAAAGAGGCAGAGCAAGTCAGGACACTGTCCCTCTGGGCCCTTCCTCACCAGGGTCTCTGTCCCTGTTTTCCTGTTTCCCCTCCGGTCCTCTCCTGGTCCTTCGTCCTTCCACCCTCAGGAATTCGTGCGCCTGCCTCACTGATTCCCCTCCTCCTACCTCAGAATGGGGGCCTTAAACAGGTAAACACCAGGGGGTGGGGCTGGACAGCAGCGTCGAGCAGTGAGAGAAGGAAGTAGCTTATTCCTTCCTATTTGACTAGCTTTGCAGAGTTGACAAAACACTTTTCCAGAGGTCATCTCATTTAATTCTTAGGTCACTCTGGCGAAGATAAGTACTTTAATCATCTTTTACAGACAAGATAACTTAGAAGCTAAATTACTTGCCCAAGATCCCAGAGTTAGTGAGGCAGAGCTATCCTGCCAGCTCAGTCCTGCTGCCTCTGCCTCTGTCAGTAAATCTGATGTAACAGTTTATCCCCTCTTCGCTTCTCCCACCATCTTTGATAGATGGCCACAGGGTTAAGCATGCCTTCATCAGTCCCTTCCAGAACACACAAGGTCCAGAGTGAAAAGAAGAAACAAAAGTATGCTCCTGGGCACTGGTATCCCTGTGGCTCTATCTGTTCACCTGCCCGCCAAGATTCTGACAACCAGCTTCTTGTCTCCCCACTGATGACACGTGGGGACACATTTGTCAAGTTAAATGAGCTACAGAAGATGATGGCTGGCTACTTTTAGATTCTGGCAGAAATAGGGTTAGCTTTTGGTTTTATGTATCTAAAACATAGTTTCTGAAAATCTGAGAGATCACTGGCTCAGAGTAGAGGGGGTGTTGGGATGGTTTGGAAGATGGTTAAGGGTGGTTTGGAAGAAGGGGGCAGTGATGCCAAGGAGAAAAGAAAAGGGCTCATCATTCCAGAGGATGCAGGAAATGGAAATTCAGCTCATTTAAAGCCGAGGTGTTTTTTTAAAGGTAGACCAGTTCCCTTTACCTCCCCGACCCTGAGCCTCCTTCCTAGAAAGTCATCTCTTAAGAGGAAGAAGAGGACATAGGGTGAGGGGCAGGGTAACAGACAGCAGGTGGGATGAAAAACAGATGGAAGATTCAGGGGGAAACAGAAAAGGGTTGGGGAATTAGCCCCTCTTCTTTCATAGAGACCTTCTAAGTTGGGCTTGAGGACTGAGAGATCTCTTAGAAGGCCCTGGGATTCAGGTCCCAGATTTGCTGAGTACCCAGACTGGAGCTTGGCCCTTTAAAATGACATCCTTAGCTTGCAGCACTCTCCCGCCCCAGGCCTGGGAGAAAAGCTGAGGTCCCAGCCCAGCCCTTGTCTCCAGGGGCCCCCCAATGGGCGGAGCCATGTGGCCAGAATTCTGGCTCCTGGCAGTCTGTTTTTAAATAGAGTAAATTCCTCAGTCTTGGCCACCCACTGTGGGGAGGTAAGTCTGGGGTTCTGGGCCTGGGCCCCTCACCACTGCTGTTTTGGGCCAGTTCCTAGGTCTGCCTTGCAAGTGCAAGCCTGGAGGAATCAGCCTTCCTCCTGGCCCTGGGGAAATCCTTCTGCTCGCCCATTTCCATCCATCCTAGCACAGGCATGGTTATTCCCTCTCCTTTTTTCTGGTCTTTGCTATATAAGGATCCTAAACAGGGGAATGGGTGAAGAAGGAGTTGCTAGGCAGGAGGGGAAGTCAGAGGAGCAGCGTGGGGGTGGTGCTGGGGGTGAGGTGCCTAACCAGCTCAGCCAGTGGTGAGGCAGTGGAGCCCAAAATAGTGGCAGAGGCTAAAATTGGCACCTACAAGAGTGTTTGAGTTGGGCTTGAAACCTGCAGCCGGGTCCTGCTGCTTGGCCCCGGCAGGGAGCCTCCAGATCTGGGTTAGACCTCCTCTCCCTCCCTCCTTTCCCCACACCTGGGGGACCAGAATCCAGCAGGACCCTGCAAACAGGGCGCTCTGTCCCAGGGCTCTCCCTGATTCTGGTTTCTTCAGAGAAATGGGAGACCCTGAGGGGCAGAAATGAACTGCAGTGTGAATGATCACAGCTAGAGTGCAGGGTGATTTTCCCAATAAGAGAGAATTCACCAAAGGGGTTGTTTGGCTCAGGCTGGGGCAGAGTCCAGAAGAAGGCCCCACCCCACTCCCCTTCCTGTGGAGAGACTGGCCAGACCCCAGCTGACCCCTGAGTGGGGCTGAATGCTCTCTGGTCTTTCGGTTCTGACCTAACATGGCAACAGAGAGAACTGGGGTTAGACACAAGGAAGAACTTCCTCAGCTTCTTGGCCTCAGCTTTCTTGGTAAAGGTGATGAATTCCACCTCCCTCCAAATATTGGCTGGGCTAGGAGGGGAAGAGGATGGGCAAGTGCAGTCAGGAAGGCCTCAGAGGGTGGGGACTTGTGGGAGAATCTTCTCTCCCGGCTGGATTCTTCCATCTCTGGGAATGAATCTTCTCTTTCATGCCTTCTAAAGACCCAGCGTTTAGTTCCCCTTTCCTTTCCCCGCCCTCACCCACCCCTGCCCCCAATCGTAAAAGGGGTCTGGTGACCTGCTTTGAAGGGCCCCGAAGACCCGGAAGGAACCGAGCTCTGGTTCCCCGGAGAGCTGGGGGCGGATGGAACCAGCGGCCCGAGGGTCTATAAAGACTGAAGCCCTTAAGTCGGGGAGGCGGAAGACCTGGGTGGGGTGAGGGCTGCGGGGCTGGATGAGGGTGGGTTTAGGAAGACCAGAGCTAAGAGGCGAGCCTCTAGAGCTAGAGGGCGCTCCTAGGCGCTGGAGGGGAAACAAGCAGAGGGGCCCCCAAACCTGTGCACGGACCCCCGCACTTCAAGCTGCTCTTGGCCAGAGCCAGGCGTCCTGTCCCGCGCGTCGGCACCCCGCCCTCCCCGCGCCCCGCCTCCCCCCTTCCTGAGCCCAGGCGGGGGTGGAGACTCGGGTTTGAGGAACTGGTGCTGGGTGCCGGGCGAGGGGAGTCAGACTTCCTGTCCCCGAGACCGACGCGTGCGGGGCGGACCCTCCCCCCCACCCCCACAATAGCTGAACGCCCAGGTCCCCGCCGGTCCTCCCGGGCTCCCCGCTCGGATTATGTCTCGGATCGAATCCCTCACGCGGGCGCGGATCGACCGGAGCAAAGAGCTGGCGAGCAAGGTGGGCTCCGAACCCCCGCCCCCTCCGCCAGCGGCCCCCAGGGTGCCCTTCGACCCTGGCACCAGCGGCGCACCCCCGGTCTCCCCGCCCGCTTTCTGGGCGCCAAAATCGGGCGGAGCGTTAGCTGGGAACGCGGCGGGACGGGTGGGTGGGGACTGAGGGGGAGTGGGGAGGGGGTGGGGGAGCCGGAGGCGCGACCCGAGCCTCGGGCTCCGCGCAGCTTCCGTGCCGGGATCCCGGGAGGGAACGGACCTGCGGGTGGGTCGCCTCGGATCCGGCGGGACCGGTGTTTTGGGCCGTGCGAAAGAAAGTTGCTCGGGTAAGGGACGGAGCGGGAAAAGGGAGGCGTGTGTATCGGGGGTGGGGGTGGCGAAAGCCCTCCGACGCCCCCCCGGCCCCCGACACTAAGGTCCCTCCGGGTTGCTCTCGGCGTTACCCCCACCCCGCAGTCGCTGGCTTGGTGGTTCCCCCTTTGTCCCCGCCATCCGGCGGAGGGGGCGGGAGGGGGGGTGGTTTCCCGGCTTCCTCCC